CGGTTTCCACGTACCTGTGGTCCGAGAAGGAGTGCTCTTCCAGGACCCTCCAGGATACGATGTTCCCGTGTAGCTCATGAGAGGCAAGTGTGAGGTCCAGGACCTCCTTGCGGTTTTTAATAATGAAGGTGGGATCACTCCCCCTATTTAAAAGGACCATCTGAGTGGTCAGTAAATAGTTGAAAAGGTACTCACCCCTTTCGTTGGTGTCAGTGCTTCCCCACTGGCAGTGGTGTGCGTTGGCGTCGCACCCTACGATTAGGCCGGTGTCCTTGGCCTCGCAGTCTGTGATTAGCGCCCTGAGCGCCTGTGGAGGGGGGTCTGGTTGGTCGTGACCCATGTACGTGGAGCAGATTCTCAGTGAGCACCCCTGGCCTTCGAGGCTCACTGCTGTTTGGTCTTCATTACTGAAATTTGGGAGCAAAAATAAGTGCAAATCTCTTTTTGCAAGGATGCAGGTGCGAGTTTTACCTGCGGAGTAAGCTACGTATAGCTTATAGTCAGGAGTCCTCAGACCGGAGACCCTGTTTCCGAGGATCCAGGGCTCCTGAATGAGGACTATGTCGGCTCCACCCTTGGCTAGGTGGAGCAGGAGAGCAGCGCATGCTGCCTTACAATGGTGGAGGTTTATCTGCAGGAGTATCAGTGACATTCCTGAGGTCCACCTCCACCATTGTCCTGTCGTGGTCGCTCTCCGAAGAGTCCAACTCCTCCGCGACCCCGATGTGTTTGAGATCCCTAGTGAGATCGCTCACGTCTGAGACGTAACCATCTAAGATGTCATCCGACACCACTGATGCCACGTCTGACACCGCAGGCTTGATCTCCATACTAGGGATCTCCGGGGGCTCCAGGTCTGGCTCGACCGTCGGCTGCATGCCTTTGGAGTCGGACTTGTACGGTACTACGACTACTTTCTTGTAGCCGTAGTCCACAGCGCCCTCCGTGTCGTGGAGAAGTCTGACCGACTCCTCGTTCAGGACGAGGATAATTTGGCGCCTCTGCCCGTTGCTCTCCTCTACTTTGGCCACCTTCCAATCGGCTGTGGGAAGGTGGGGGTTGCAGACCTGCAGAATCCGGAGAATCTTATCCGGCTCTGCAGGCTTCGCTGAGACCCACGCTCTGGCCCTCGGCTTGCTGGGGATGTCCTCCCACTTCACGACCTCCAGCTGGGCTCCTGGGTAGACCTCCTTGAGCGACGCTACCGCCTTCGCGTAGAGGGCCGCCGAGCGAGCATCTTGGCAGGCGATGGCTTTCACCCTGCCTTGGTGCCACCCGGCGTCCTCACACTTGGGCGGTGGTCCTCCATTCTCCTCCAACTCCTGGAGGAAACGGTCTTGGAGCTCGTTTTCCACGAGGTGCCACTTGTCCCTAGGGATCTGCCCGTCTTTAGAGCCCCTGTCTAGGACTCCAATCAGGGTTTTTCCCCTCGCCACCTCGGCAAACGAGCGGTTGCTCAATGTCTTTGTCCTCTTGGCCTGTTGGACTTGTGTGGCGGTGTCCTCCGCCGAGCGTTGCCGCTTGCTTGGGGCCTTGGCTGTGGCCTTGCCAGCTTTGGCTGGCTGGTAGTCGGGCAGGACTGTCTTGGCCCATCGCCGCGATTCGATTCCCTGGGCAGACGCCAGGAACACCGGGTCGTCGTTGCCCAGGATGAAGGCCGCACGTCTTTTGTCCTGAAACTTGGGCCTATCTTTCGAGGCAGAGGCGCCGCCTGCCGGGGTTGTCAAGGGGTTCCCGGTCCCAAGGGGTCCGCCAGCCGCGATATCGCTCTGCATGGTCGCCCCCCCGGTAACCGGGTCGCCCTTGGGGCCCCCCGACGTGGATTGGCCTCACAGCGCCTGCTGCCTCGAGACGGTGGACCGACTTAGTCTCCTTCCCCGTCTTTTTGGGCACTGGTTTCCCAGATGCGTTTGTAGAGGGATGGTCTTTTCCCTCCGGCACTTTAGGAGGAGTGCCGTGCTCCTTTGCGGTGTTTTTTGTGTTTATGTTTAAATTTGGCATATTTGGTCCCACGAGTAGGCGGGAAGGGGTTAGTCGCCCGAGGCATAGCCCGCGTGCCCCGGGAAGCCTTATTAAAACTGGAGGTCGGCAGGTATCCAGAGTCCGCATATAAGCGACCGAGCACCCCCTCGGCCATGCATCCCTCGGCATATGACAGTGTCACCTTGGATTGGGGTTATTTCACTGAGAGTTTTCTTCTCTCCGCCCGACTACAATTAGCCAGCATCCTGGCAGAGACATGACCGTACCAGGACCTGTTTCCAGCCGCCCTCACGGGGAGAGTATAGTCGCACTTCCGCCGGTGTGTACAGTTACGGCGGGTGCCGGTTCGCTCGTGCCCACCTGTATCCTATGACGCGGAGCACAGTCGCCTTGGATCCAGGGCAAGCCATGAACCCGAGGCGCCCGTGCCCCTTTCCGAGTCTACAGTTGTGACGAGCCGACCCGACATCCGTTTATCCCACTATAGCACCCGACGGCTGACGGCCCTTCTGGACGTTACACACATCCATTTTCACCAAAAATCTAATATACCCCAATACTCGTTTTGAGTATCGGGTATAAAAAAATGAGGGGGAACGTTTTGAGTTGCTGCGGACACCGCAACTCTACCTTTATACCCGATACTTAGTCAGTATGGCTCTCCTCCGGCAGGCGCCGCTATTATTGAACGACACGACAAAGAGTGCGTGCGAGAGAGACAGAAAATCAGTCTGAGCGTGACGTCGGGCGCTGCGTAGCCACTGCAAATTGATTTGTTCCTTTTGGCTATACAAATTATCCGATCTGATCCAGATTCAGCAATCTGATAGATATGGATGAGATCATCATTTTCTATGATTGTTTTTAGTTTTCTCGAATCTTCAATATTGAGGATGCCACAGATTTTCCTCTTTTGCGGGGCGGAAGGGGGTGGGGCGAGATATACGATTAATAGTGAGTTCTAACAGGAGTGTGGATACCAACTTTGGTCTCTCTAGCTTTTATAGTGTCTGAGATCCTTGAACTCATATTTTGCAATAGGCAAAATCGGCCATGAAACCTGTGTGTTAGAGAAAGACAGAACGAGAAAGAATGAAATTGTTTTCTTGATTCTTGCTATAATAATTATACGATCTGGTTCTGATTTTGCATTCTAGAAGATATATTCATCCTCTGCGATTGAACGTTTTCTGTGTTCTCGTATCTTTAAAATTGCGGATTCCCCAGATTTTCGCCCTTTATGACGGCTTGTAACAGTGACATATCACAGAAGTCTAGATATAAAATGTCGGTGCTCTAGCTCTTATAGTCTTTGAGCACTAGGCGCTAATAGGGACGGACAGACAGACAGGGCTCAGTGTACGTGTAAGCGAAAAAGTAGAAATCTCTGGCGTGCTGCATCCGCAGCTTCATGGCTTTGCCCACCCCTATCTCGGCTTGGCCATGCTGATCGAGCGCCGCTCCTCTTCTGCGATACGAAACGGCGTCGGCGCCGTCTTCCGTCCGCTTTGGATCTGGCTGGCTTGAAACCTGCATTCATGAATATACATATGTATATAACTTCAGCTGGCACTTCCAGACTATATGGTCCCATACATTTATTTTGTTTGTCTTGCTCAGTCTATTGGTGGAACTTGATAGAACGAAAAAACCTCGGCCAACCGCAGGGGAGCGATCTCACACTCCCAATTCGAGCCAGACGCTGAAAGATACACTACTTCAGTACCTCCCTTTCACTAGAGAGATATCTTTCTATATAAAATCTAAAACATCTGAAATATATGACCATATGACCAAGAGGTGTCTTGAGTCTAGTTACTTTATACATTTCGACAGATTAAACGGGTAAAGCATTCGACGACTTAAGTTTATGGTGGGTTGGATTTGGCAAGGAAGGTCAATTTATTGTGTGTTAACAAAGGTGCAAAAGGGTTGCAGATGTAATAAACAAATTACTTAAACTTTTTTTTTCTTTGCAAATACCAGAGATAATATACATACTTAAGTATTTTTAACATTATACATACTATCTAATTTTAAGCCCTTGCCGAAGAGAAAAATTCCGTAAGCTTTATTTAATAGTTTATTTTATTTATCTAGATTGTTAAATTACATTTTTAGTTTAATTTTTGTTCAGAAAGGCATCCCAAAATAAAGTGCCCCGGATCTGGGCCCACTTGCAACCTCTATAAAAACCTGCGTGGCTCAGAGTTAAATGACCCAGGATTTGGAGGGTGTGATGTGGGCGATAACTGTCCATGACGCATCATATCAAATGGCGAACTAGAGCGCTGCACGAAGCGGTGATAGTTGCTTTGTGGCAGAGCGTGCTACAATTAATAGAAAATTTTTATTTTATGATAAATACCGAGAAGGAAATACTTACGTGTATACTTCGCAAGGTCAGTGCACTTGGAACGTTTCCAACTACGTGAGGGTTTGGACCATCCCCCAAATCTACTTGTAAACTTTCTGGCATGTTGTTATTGCTGCCGACGCTTCGCCCGTTAGTATTTCCAGTACTATTCGACAAATGGAGCTGACCTAACGATGCGGTGGCCATTCTCCGCCGTTCTCAACAATCATATCCAAGCCTAAGCTATTTCCATGTGGAAATCGAAAGTCCCCTTCAGTTATTAATGCCGGCAGTTCATTTCGTGGACGCGCTGACGATGAAATACGTGCATAGCTACACTAAAGCGCAGGACCAGAGTTGGTTGCTAAAATACTGGCTACACCAAAAAGACCATTTGATTGGTGACGCGGAAAAGTGAGATTTCGGCTATAATAGGGGTGTACTCCATCGGTGCCACAGATTTATGATGGTGACGATCCCATTGACGACGACGATAAAAAAGAAGATCCAACGGTTGTGTTTCGCGGAACTGAGCCAGTAGCCGCTGGTGATGGCGGTGGGCTTTGATCTTCATCTTCAAGCAAATTGTCTTCGCTTTGAGTAGTGGACGCAACTCCACACGGATTTTCTTTGTGAACATCATAGCTTTTCTGGCTGATACTTCATCAGGGAGGTTAAACTCTCTCACGACCCGAAGCCGAATTTGTCGTTCAATTTCATGTTTTGATGAAAGTGGCAGTAGCAATGCACGCTGGCACATAGGTGACTGGCGAAGTTTATTTTCGCGTTTACGCATTGCCAATAAAGTTTGGTTATCCGGTGCTGGTATAACATCCGACCCTACCATCATGTCAATATTTTCATGAATAGCACCACGATTAATAACACTACAAAGTCCATTATTATCCGCTGCATTCATGTGGGACACCATATTCAAGGTATCAGGAATATCTGGCGGGTGTCGCGACCTACTAATACGCATTAGTTTCACCTGGTGGTGAGATGAAGATAATCGATCCTTCAACAAAGAGTCCCTGATTACTACCACTACGTATTCAGGCATTGATACGTAAATTTTCTCCAATCATATATGAAGGTGGAGTGCTGACAAGATCTCTACGAATTGCTTGGCAGAGTATCTCACTATGAGGTGGTAAAACATGGTCTATGCGCACTAACGGCAATAATTCTGCGATGATGTCTCGCAACTCTACATCACTCAAATCACAAAAAGTTTGGTTCACGATCTTCCATACGGCTAATGAGCTCCTGTTCGCCACATTTAAGAACAGCCTGCAGAATCTCTAGCTTAGGTTAAGTTATGTTAACCCGGACGGCCCTCAGCGGGGCCACGCATAGGCCAATCTGGCCCTTAGTTATCCGGATAGGGGGGTGTATGAACCGTCGCGGGAGTGTTTATGTTGTTTTAAAGTCCCCGAGAATCGAGGTGTTTTTAGCATAGGCCAGCAGTTCCTGTGGCCTTCTGCCTGGAATATGCTGCATTGGTCCGGTAGCTTATACGACAGCCTTATCTCAGGGTCTGTACAGTATAGGCCCGCTCCTACTCCTCCGTCCATCTTGAAGCCGTCAGTGTATATATTGAGGTGCTTAGTTTGGTCCCTTCCAATTTTCCAGTCTTCAGGTCCCAAAGATGTGGTTGTTTTGACGTCAAGGAAAGTTTGGGGGGTCATGTAATCAGTTGATCTGGTCATGTCCCTGCCAATTGAACTGTGCCCGTATCCTTGTATCGATAGATTTCCAGATACTATAAGGCGTTGTGCTGCCTTTCCCGCAATCAGGCGAGCGAGTTTATGTCCAGGGGGTCGATTCCGAGTACAGTTTCGTGTGCTTTTGTTGGGGTTGACCTCAGCGCCGTGTAATACAGAGCAGAGCCTGTCGCTGAGTCTTTTCCATAAGCTTATGGTATGTCTTCTTTTCAGAAGCCTGCCACCACACTAAGGCTCCATACAGCAGAGTTGGTCGCACCACCGAGATGTAGATCCAGTGCATTAGAGCAGCTGACAGGCCCCATGTGCTGCTGAGCATCTTCTTGGATGCATAAAGCGCAATGGTAGCCTTCCTCACCCTTTCCACTACATTGGGCCTCCATGCCAGTTTGCTGTCCAGTACTGTGCCTAGGTATTTCACCTGTGATTTTGGAGTCAGCCTAGCTTGGTCAATTTTCGGGGGGGTCCATATCGGTACCTTGTACCTCTTGGTAAAGAGGATGAGGTCCGTCTTGTCCGCGTTGATACTGAGTCCTACCTCTTCCGCCCACTCACGTATCTCCCTGAGTGTACGTTCCATTAAGGAGCTGAGGGTCGATGGACAAACACCCGTAATAAGTATGCTTATGTCGTCTGCATAAGCTGTTATTTTTGGGGCCTTCCTCTCAAATCCCTTAATGAGGTCGTCGACCACCAAATTCCACAGTAGTGGCGACAGGACTCCACCCTGAGGTGTGCCTCTGTGTGCCCCCTTTACCATGGAAGCAGTGCCCCACTCCGATTGCACCCGTCTACAACTTAGGAGGTTTTTGATCCAGACGTTGATTGCAGGGTGTATGTTATTGGCTTCTAGGCGACTTGTTTATAGCCCGTACTTAGGCATGCTGAGTATATTGCGAGGAGCCATGGGCTAATAACCTCTTTGGTCAACTGCATCATGGCTGGGAATATCCCGTCCAGTCCTGGTGTTTTTATGCCCGCGAAGGAGTCTATGGCCCAGTGGATTCTCTTAGTGGTTAACAGACCTATTGGGGGGTGCTGCTCCTCAGTTGCTAGGTCCTGATGCTCCTTGGCGTCAGTGACCTCGGTGCATCCAGGGAAGTGCGCCTCCATTAGTGCTGTTAGGGCTTCTTTACTGCCCTCTGTCCACTGTCCGTTGTCTAGTTTTAGTTGGCTCTGTACTGTGGGCTGCTTTGAAAGCAGCTTCCGGAGCCTAGCGGTTACGGGCACTTTCTCGATGTTGGAGCAGAAGTTTCTCCACGAGTTCCTTCGTGCCCTACGTATTTCCTTCTTGTAGCTCCTAAGTAGGATTTTATATTCCTCATTGACAATCTCTTCGTTCGCTTGTTTGGCGATCTTGAAGAATTCCTTGAGGTTGTTCCTGTGGAGAGAGAGATCTCGGTTCCACCAGAGTGGCTTGGACCTCATCTTCGTTCTCGAGGGTTTGCACGATGCATGGTAGGCGTTCAGTAACTCGTTGGATAGGGTCTTTAGGGACTTCTCTATATCCTCCGCGGATTTCACTGAGCCCGAATTCGCGAGCTTCGAAGTAACTGTCTTTTTAAACTTTACCCAGTTTGTGTTCCGGGGGTTCTGTAGACTGTTATCTTCGAAGAGTGTTTGAATTCGCACTTGAACTGAATGTACTTATGGTCTGAGAAGGATGGTCTTTCGAGGACTCTCCAGTCAGATACCAAGGTACTCTTTCCCGTGACAACAGTTAGGTCAAGCACGTTTGACGAGGTGGGACCCACGAAGGTGTGTTCCTCCCCCACGTTTGCTACGTCTAAGTTAGTGGATAAGATAAAGTCTAGGAGTGAATCACCTCTATCGTTGATGTCAGGGCTTCCCCACACATTGTGATGTGCGTTGGCTTCTGCACCGATGAGGAGTTGGAGATTTTTGGAGCCGGCTTCTGTCACCAGACTCCTAAGTTCTTCGGGTGGGGCGGGCCTGTCATGTGCTATGTAGCAGGAAGCTGCCATTAGGCGCTTTTCCTCGCTCTCCAGCATCACCACCGTCATGTCATCCGTGCTGTATTGAGACGTAAGATGAGCATGGATTCCCTTCCGTACGAGTACGGCGGTTCTGTTCCTGCTTACCGATGTTGAGTAGAGAAGGTTGTAATTTGAGGACTTTAGTCCGGCCACAGAGTTGCCTGACGCAATCCACGGCTCTTGGACTAAAGCTATGTCGGTGGGCCCTTGCTCCATGGCAATGAGGAGCTCCGCCGACGCTACCTTGCTTTTATGAAGATTGAGTTGCAGCACCCTTAGTGTCATGGGTGGCTAACTCAACCTCGCACAACGGGTTGACTATGATTGTCAGGTCACCGTCCTCCTCCTCCTTCGAGTCGGCCAGCGCAAGACCCTGGGCGGCCTCCACTATGGTCTCCAGACCTAGGTCCCTCTCGACCTCGCCTGCCTGGAGGGTGTGCGCATCTTTGTCTTCGGGGTGGCGCTTTTTCAGCCGTAGGTATACGCTACCTACGCCCCACGCCATCTTCCCGAACCTGGGATACAAGATGTCCTCCGCCTCCTTGCTGATCTGGAGGATCACGTGCTGGCCCCCCTCGTTGGGTAGTGGGCTACCGGCATGCAGAACCTTCCAGTCAGCCGTTGGCACGTCCGGATTTTGCCTGTGCAGCAGCTTCAGTGCTCGCTCCCCCTGGACAGCAATGGGGAAGAGCACCTTCGCCTTTGGTATGGACGGGATCAGCTCCCTGTCTACCACCTTCAGCTTGGCCCCCTCCCACAGAGCTTCCAGTAGGGGCACCTTCTGCACCAGCCACTGCCGCGTTGGGTCGTCATTACACTTCAGGATTTTGACCCCGTTCAGCCATCCCGCTCCATCGAACGTGGGCATAAGAGCGCTAGGGTCCTAGGAATAGTGCCTCGACGAGCTGCGCGTGGACTAACTTCCACTGCGCCGCCGTCATCTTCCCGTTCTCGTCGCTGCGGTCGATCAAGGCCACAATGAGATGTCTCTTGGACACCTTGCTCATGGCCTTCTGTCTCGGCTTCCTCGTCTTCGGCTGGGGGGTGGCCACCTTGGGCCCGCGTTGCCGCTTGCTCGCCGGAGTGTCTTTGGCAGCACTCTCGATCGAGCGTTGCCTCTTGGTGGCCAACATCTCCTCCACCTTGTTGGTGAATCCACCGTTTGTTGCCTTCATATGGGGCAACTGCGCGTAGTGTTCGCGGCCCTCCTGTACCCGTTGCTCAGCCCAGGCTAGCTTGGACTTCTCCTCTTGGGAGATATCCGCCTTGCCCCGGAGCCGGCACAGTAACTTTTTTCTTGGACGTTGACATGCAATGACTGCATCTTTCAAGAGGCAGTTACTGCACCGTCAAGTGGCCCGTGTGACACCAGCAGAAGGCTGTTACGCGCGGATCCCAGGCAAAACGCAGCCCTCCTCCCGCCCAACCGACCGAGGGGCGCTGCCGCATGACGCGCGGTGCGTAGCCGAACCAAACGCGAACATGCAAGAAAGATAGATATTAGACTAACATTCGAGTAAAATTAGCACTAAACTCACTAAGAAACTAAGCATGCAATCAAAATACAAATACCACTACAGTTACTAATTAATCGAAAGGTGTGTAAGGATTAATAATTTAATAAGAGGAAGAGAATTAGTATTGGATATAATATGGTAGAGGGAATTATAATCCGAGCATAAGACCCTAAACGGTTCATGCAAGGAATAATTCGATCTACAAAGTGGAAGGAACAACGGTATAAAATTTCTAGTCATTCTAACAGGAATCGTGAAGTTTATGCGGCTCAACAGATCAGGGCTGTCTATGTCACCCCTGATCAAGTTGTGCATAAATATCACACCAAGCATTATTCTACGGTTAACTAAGGATGGGAGGCTTACTAATAGTAGTCTACTAGAATAAGATGGGAGTCTTACACCCGCATCCCAGTTAAGGCCCCGCAGAGCAACGAGTAAAAAGTTTTTCTGTACTGATTCTATACGGTCCTGGTGTACTTTGTACTGAGGGCACCATACACAGGAGCCGTATTCTAAGATCGGACGAACAAGCGAGGTATAGAGAGTCTTTGTTATATAGGGGTCGTCAAATTCCTTTGACCACCTCTTTATAAACCCAAGCAC